TCTGAGTCAAGGGGAAGATGTGATTGACACGAGCTAATTTATATACATATTTGAAAACAAAAAACAAATCAATATATGAAGTGAAATTTAAAACAGAATATATTTAGAAACATGCCACCTGAAATTATCACTGATTAGTGTCTTTGTTGATGGTTAATTGGCACCTACTAACTCAAGGGTGTCAGCTCTCAATAGAAAGCAGACAATTCTTCATTAACAAAGAACAACAAAATTTTAAGTAGTCTTACTTTTGTGTAGATATTCAATTAGCTGGTATATCTGAGCAATGCCTTCCTCTGTCAGTGGGGATCCAAATATTACTCCTTTTTCTAAAAAGAAAAAAGAAAAGAAACAATAACACAGGACTATATTTTCCACAAATAATACAAAAATCAGCATACTGAAAACCACTCAAGCATCCGATGTCACAGTTCAGCAAAGGCTTTCACAAGGTCAATAACAAAAATCTTAAGAGCTGGCCCTTGCCAATTTGGCTCAGTGGATAGAGCTGGGAGTGGAGTTACAGAGAGAGGCTGTGTGGAAGAGCAGGACTGGGAAAATCGGAACCTGCCTGTCACCTCAGGGCATCGCTGAACAAACCTGCTGAGGTGGGGCCTGAGCAGGAGGCCAGGCTGGGGAGGTGATGGACCAGGCGGCCGCCCCCTGTGCCCGGGAAATCAGCCCTGTTCTCGCTGCACTGTGAGCTCCTCCAGGAGACAATTATTTAAGTTATAACGTCTTGTTGGTTCTGTGACGACTGCCAGAGCATGTTATTTTTGTTACTGTCTGTGGGTGTGATTGCTATTGTTATTTATTATTGTGACTATATTATTATGACCATAGTCTGCCTCGACCCGAGAATCTCAGCAGGACCTGGCAGCCTGTGTCCCTCCTGCCACCAGGCTCTACCTCGGGACGTGCTGGGAACCTCTTGGCGCCGGTCAGGGACTCCTCACTATTGAAATATTTATTTATTGTTGACAACTGGAGCTGGTTTCCGAGATACAGATGATGTACTCAATCCCTGTGTTTCCTGTTGCAGCATGTTATATTCTTGTAAAATAAAAATAAAACCCCAACGTGAAGTGTCCCAGGTTCGATTCTGACCAAGGGCACATGCCCGGGTTGCGGGCTCGATCCCCAGTAGGGGGTGTGCAGGAGGCAGCCAATCAATTCTCATTGATGTTTCTATCTCTCTCTCCCTCTCCCTTCCTCTCTGAAATCAATAAATATATATTTAAAAGAAAAAAATCTTTTAAGAGCTGGAAGTGCACCTGAAAATGCACCAGGAAATGCAATCAAAACAACTCTCAATCAACTCTGCCAGTTTAACATTAGATTGTAGGTTTCTTGAAGACAAAACAATACCTAAAATGTTGATATTTAATTTAAAAACAAACAAATAATAGAACTTAGAGCCATAATTGTCAAAGCATGACAGACTATCCACTAGAGTAGATACAGGGTCAGATTATAATGTTTAAACTTTTTGCTACCTTAATGATTTCCTTATATTTAATAAAATAAGATAGTACCTCTTTAATATCTTATCAAAAGTAGCACTGTAGCCCAGCTGGTGTAACTCAGTGGTTGAGCGCCAAAGTTCGATTCCCAGTTGGGGCACATGCCCCGGTTATGGGCTCAATCCCCGGTGGGGCGCGTGCAGGAAGCAGCCAATCAATGATTGTTTCTCATCATTGATGTTTCTATCTCTTTCTACCCCTCTCCCTTCCTCTCTGAAATAAATAAAACATATATATATATATATATATATATATATATATATATATATATATATTTTTTTTTATTTTTTTTTTTTTTTTTTAAAGCAGCACTGTAATTTATTTTCTGGGAAGGCTGTTTTGGGGTGAGTCATAGATATTTTTATTTGCCTTTTCAAAGCATTCCATTGAAGCATTCCATTCAAGAAACCTACAATCTAATGTTAAACTTGCAGAGTTGATTGATAGTTGTTTTGATTACATTTCCTGGTGCATTTTCAGGTGCACTTCCAGCTGTTAAAACATCTGGGAACTAACAACTGCAATAAAAAAAAATGCTCAAACTGTCTTTACTGTACTCTCTAGCTATGAACTTTGTTTTATTTTAAACATTATTTTAGTACAGTATTAATAGGGAATGAAAATCAAGGTGTCCCTGTTAAATACCTAAATTAATTGTCACCTCTCAGGGACTGACATATATATTTGGCTTTAATTTATCTAGACTTTTAAAATAATTTTTGTTGTTTTACTTCTTATGAAAATGAAAGAAAAAAAAACAACCAAAATTGCTTTATGGTATTAGCAACTCCTCAATGAACATAAGATGCCAAGAATGAAACCCAAAAAGCAACTAAGATGCGTATACCCTTCCCAAACACATCTCCTACCCTTTCGCTTGAGAGACATTAGAGACCGGAAGAATCCTGTCGCTGGGCCAGCCCCACCAGGCAACTTAAGTTCCACTTCTCCCATCAGCTGAGCCAATTCAGTTCCAGGTAAATCAATGAGCCTTGTGATATTGCTGACCACCAACTCAGTGAACACCTCAGGTTTCTCATGACGGAGTTTTTCCACAAAAAAGTCAGGATTGAAGATAATGGGCTGACCTCGAAGGGAAGAGTCATTGCAGATAACAAAATTGCAGATGGCATCACTGAAAAACATGAAACAGAAGAATCTTGAGGTGGGACTAGATCATTTTCATGTGTTTCTCATTCCCTCTCAACCACACAGTTATTCACTCTTTCTGTGGGTTAATCTACACATTGGTCTTTTGAAAAACCTTATCCTTAATCTGGTCACTGTACAAAAGAAGACAATTTGAACTTGTTGCTGTTTAAGTCATACCCACCTAGATACTTAGGAATTTAGTTTAAAGAAAAGACGTGTGGCTCAGTGGTTGAGCGTCAACCCATGAACCAGGAGATCATGGTTCGATTCCTGGTTAGGGCACATGAGTAAGGGTGTGCAGGAGGCAGCCAGATCGATGATTCTCTCTCATCATTGATGTTTCTATCTCTCCTTCTCCCTTCCTCTCTCTGAAATCAATAAAAATATATTTAAAATAATAATAATTTTAAAAAAGAAAGAAAAGAGACCAGATAGCCTCTATTATGTGACTTGAATTTGCCTCTTAATTTCAGGCATATACCATAGGAAGATACAGATCCTTACAGCCTCCCAAATCTAATAACATATTAGAATTGCTAGTCACATAGACTACATTTCCTTATTAAAACAGTCAAACCCTGAATGATTACTGTTAAATACTTGTAAAACATCAGGCCTGCAGCTATTCCGCCTAACAGAGCCATGGGTAATCATCAAGTTAAGTCCTTCTTGGGAACACAGTCACTACTATATGGTATTTACCATGCAGTGACCAATTGCTGCCAACCGCTACATTCAGGTTAATCATGTTTACTGTCACAGGAACTATATGACAGTAAGCATGATGATACTATTGAAGACTTAAAACTAAATCTAAATAGTGTCATAGACACTTTGAAGACAATTATCTATAGGGTTCTTTGGTTCCTGGGTCCCTACACAGGTAGGTATTTCCTTATAGTCAACTCCCTTTAATTGAGCCAAACACTCTTGAATTCTGTTCCTCATAACCAAAAAGGCTTCACTAGAATGTAAGGCACAGGTACGTAAAAATATAGATGTTAATTCAGCCTTGTCCAGGTCCAGAAATAGGCTTTATTTGAAAATCCTTCAATTCTGGATGCCTCTGGCTCATGATCTAAATCCAGTCTTTCCTCAGACAGATTCTTCTAAGGCACTTGAAAAAGTCAATAGTATTTTGCTTCTAATTTCACTCTTCTATCACTGAGTAATACTGAGCAAGTCCTGGTCAGTGTGGCTAAGTTGGTTGGAGAGCCATCCCGTACACCAAAAGGTGGTGGGTTCTATTCCCAGTCAGGACACATACCCAGGCTGCAGATTTGATACCTGGTCAGGGCACGTGCAGGAGTCAACCAATCCTCACATCACTATCTATCTCTCTCTCTCTCTTTATCTCTCTCTCTCTCTCTCTCTCTCTCTCTCTCCCTTCTTCTCTCTAGAATCAATTTTTTTTTTTTTTAATGTTCTGTTGGCTCCTGATCTTAGCTGGTTTTCTACTCCTACTTTACTTGGGTTATATTCCTGGCAAAGCTCCTTTGACTCAGAAATAATTCCTTCCCTATTCTGTGTTTCCTAATACCTAACTACTGTACATTTTGCTTTTAATATGCTACATATAAAACTATATTATTTGCCAAAACCGGTTTGGCTCAGTGGATAGAGCGTCGGCCTGTGGACTGAAAGGTCCCGGGTTCGATTCCGGTCAAGGGCATGTACCTGGGTTGCGGGCACATCCCCAGTAGGAGTGTGCAGGAGGCAGCTGATCAATGTTTCTCTCTCATCGATGTTTCTAACTCTCTATCTCTCTCCCTTCCTCTCTGCAAAAAATCAATAAAATATATTTAAAAAAAAAAAAAACTATATTATTCAATCTCTTGTAGCAGAGCCATCACCACTTGTTTGTACCCATTAAAAATTATTTCTAGAGGCCCAATGCACGAAATTTGTGCAAGAGTAGGCCTTCCTTCCCCCGGCTGCCAGCACCGGCTTCCCTCTGGCACCCAGGACCCGGGCTTCCCTCCTCTGGCTGCCGGCAGGTACCTGGGACCTCGGCAGGTACCTGGGACCCGGGCTGCCCTCACAGTCCCGGCTTCATCCGGTCTAATTAGCATATTACGCTTTTATTATTATAGAAGATGGCTTGTGCTAATCCTTATTATATAAACAGTCATCTGTTATATAACAGATGAGTACATAGAACACAAGCCAGAAAGGACAAGTAATCACATCTGTCAAGCAAAGTCGAAATTCACCTGACTCATACAAACATTCCCACAACAAAAACAATCACAACTTAAGTCTTCCACAACACTTAGCACTCTTCCAGGAAAAATAACTCCTCTAAGTAGTAATGTAGCTAATTCATTTCCACAGAATACATGACCCCACAATATAAAGCTGAGAATATCAAGAAGCATGGAAGAATTTAAGAGATTTCTAGGACTAAAGAAAAAATACTATATTTAAGCAATAACAATGCCCTACTCTGCAGTATCTTATTTTAATACAAACTCTAAGTTTGCTCAAAAAAAATAAATTTCTTACATAAGAGCTGAAAGCTTCGGATGAGGCATTGGTAAATCGAAGAGACTGCGAAAAGCTTTCTCCTTGTTTGTTGTGACAAAGGAACCCTCCTTTCCCTGCCTCATTACAGCCTACACAAATTCCAGGCATGCTACAGGACACAAGGGCACATTATGGGGCCTGAAAGGCAGTACTTATTAAGACTCTACACACTCATCTGCAAGAAGGAACAAAACAGAAATTAAAAACTGGACTAGTTCATTATATTTGCCAACATATAGATGAAATTCAACAATAGTCTCCCATCACATAGAAAGTTGTAGTAGATGAAACAACCACATAATGTAAAAGTGTAAGGACCAGTAGTTGTATTATATGGAGGGAAAGGTGACCCCTACCTCACATCATACATACAAAAAAAATTCCAGACAGAATAAAGATCTAAATATAGAAATTTTAGAAAACAGTATAGAAGAATAAATTAATGAGGCAGAGGAAATGTTTCTTAAACAAGGTAAAAGGAGCACAATCCACAAAGAAAAGATTGATACATTTAAGTACATTAAAATTTCTATAAAAAAATGACAGTATAAACAAAGTTCTTAAAGAATGAAGTCACAATGCCTCTGTAGAGAGGAACTGCGTGAAAGAACAGGAGTGGGAGAGAAACTTTCACTGTATGTTCTTTTGTACTTTCTGGATTTTTTATTTATGTGAACATATCCATTCATAATAAATGAATAAACAAATTTAAAACTTTAAAAATAATAAAAAATAAACCATAAACTGGAGAAAAAACATTTGCATGCTAAAAGAATTAGCATTCAGGATTTATAAGTATGCCTAACATTTATTTTAAAAATACACTCAACTCAATAAAAAATTAGTCAAAGGATATGATCAAGTAATTCATAGAGCCGAAACCGGTTTGGCTCAGTGGATAGAGCGTCGGCCTGTGGACTGAAAGGTCCCAGGTTCGATTCCGGTCAAGGGCATGTACCTTGGTTGCGGCCACATCCCCAGTGGGAGATGTGCAGGAGACAGCTGATCGGTGTTTCTCTCTCATCGATGTTTCTAACTCTCTATCTCTCTCCCTTCCTCTCTGTGGAAAATCAATAAAATCTATTTAAAAAAAAAAAAAAGTAATTCATAGAAGAGG